ATTTGCAAAAGTTTTACATCACCCCAAACAGAAACTCAGTGCACCTTCAGTAATAACTCCCATTCTCTCCTCCTGCTCAGCCCCTGGTAACCGCCAATAAATTCTGTCTGTATGCGTTCGCCTATTCTAGATATTTCGTATAAGTGGGGTCATACAATATTTGTCCTTTTGTGTCTGACTTATTTCACTCAATGTAATGTTTTCAAGGTTCATCCATGTTGTAGCATACATCAGGACTTCATTTCTCTTTATGGCTGAATTAATATTTCATTGTATGTATCTATCACGTTTTGTTCATCCATTCATCTGTTAATGGACACTTGGGTTGTTTCCATCTTTTGACTATTCTGAAATAGAATAAAGCTGCAGTAAACATTGGTGCTCATGTATCTGTTTGAGTGCCTGCTTTCAAGTCCGTTGGAAATACACCTAGGATTGAGATTGCTGGGTCATACGGTAGTTCTATGCTTAACTTTTTAAGGAACCACCAAACTCTTTTCAACAGTGACTGTACTATTTTGCATTCCCCTTTGCAGGCTCTTTTTACTCTGCCCTAAAAACTTGTGCCTCTCAGGGCTCAGCGCCAGGTTGTCTGCACTTCCCACTCTATACACTCTAGTTGGGCAATGCCACTTCCTAATGAATCCTAAATTGATATCCACAGCTTCTTCCTAAGCTTCAGGTATGTGTATATATATATATATATATATATATATATAACAACTCCCCTCAAACTCATTAACGTCCCACACCCACCCACTTAATCCTCTTTTTTATATAAATGGCTATTTTTCCCCAGCTAGAATATACCCAATACCCTATACCCAATTGTTATCTATTCTACTTTCTTAATAGCTTACAATTCTATCCACTTCTCTCCATTCATAATACCACAGTTATGGCACAGGACACCATCGCCTCTTGCCTGGATAACTGGATAAGTGTAACAGCCTTCTAAATGGTCTGCAGTTCAGTTACTCCAAGCTCGTTCTCTCCGCAGCCCGAAGGATCATTCCAAAACACTTTAAAACACTTAAAAAATGTCAGTTCCCTGCTTCAAATTCTTCAATATCTTCTTGTTGCCCTTAGGATAAAGTCAAAGTTGTATATCAGAGCTTACAGGTAGTGTGACATTTAATTTATTGTCTAATGGGGCACTTCTGAGAGTGAAAGGAAGTGCTATTAATAATTATGAAGGGACAAGTGCATAAACTGAGACTGTCTGGGAAAATGGGATGTAAGGTCACCTTATTTATAAGGCCCTGAGTGATCTGTTCCCTGACAAACTCTCCAGCCATCACTTGTGTATCATACACTACAATCATTCTGAACCTCACTCATTTCCTTGAGCTCATCATAATCTGTCTTGCTTTTGGGTGTTTGCATGTATTGTTCCATTTGCCTGGAAAACTTCCCACCCCTCGTCTTCTCCTGAAAAACTCCTATTCACACAATAGCAAAAAGATGGAAACAACCTAGGTGTCTATCAACAAATGAATGGATAAACAAACTATGGTACATACACCCAATGGAATATTATCTGCAAAGCATCTCACAGCATGGATGAATCTGGAGGGCATTATGCTGAA